CTGCAGCTTCCTTACCTCTCAGCCTTCAGAGAACTGAAGAGAGTTAGGGCCCTGCTCTGGATTAGGCTTGGTTTAAGGACTGTAGTATGGTCTTCTGCCCAGACCACTAAACCTTTCTCCATATCAGCAGTAAGGCTGTTTTGCTTTCTTATCATTTCTGTGTTCACTGAAGTAGCACTTACCATTTCTTCAAGAACTTGTCCTTTGCATTCACAGCTTGGCTAACTGTTGGCACAAGAGACATAGCTTTTGGCCCATTTGGCTTTCACCCTGTCTTCCTTACTAAGTCTCATAATTTTTAACATTTGATTTAAAGCGTGAGTCTTCCTTTCACTTGAACACTTAGAGCCATTGTAGGGTTTTAATTGTCCCAATTTTGATATTGTTCACTCCTCAGGAATAGGGAGGTTTGAGAAGAGGGAGGAAACCAGAAGAACGTGTGGTCAGTGAACAGTGAGAACACACCAACATTTATTGATTAAGTTCGAATGTCTTGTGTGGGCATGATTTGTGGTGCTCCCAAAACATCAAGTGTTCAAAGATCACTTATCACAGATCATTATAGTTAAAAAGTTTGAAATACTGGGAGATGTACCAAACTGTGTCACAGAGACATGTGTACATACTATGGGAAAATGCTAGATACAACATTGCAACAACCCTTCAATTTACAAAAGAAAATGCAGTATTTGTGGAATGCAATAAACGATGTACAATACCTTTGTTGAAAACGAAATGGCATGTATGGGTGAATCTCTTTCAATAGGGTCCCATCAGTCTATAAATTACACTTATACCCATGCTGCCTTGTGTTGTTACCTTAAATCAGATAGTGTAAAACCCTCCATTTTGTTACTCTTTCTAAAAAATAGACTTTGCCATTTCAGTTCCCTTGCATTTCTGTGTACATTTTAGGATCACCTTGTCAATTTCTATCTAAATGCTACCAGGATTTTGATTAGGGTGGCTACAGAGACATAGCATGTCCTGATTCTTAAGTATGATCTATACCTGCATTTATTAGTTCTTCTACTTTTGTAGTTTTTGTGATTTAGGACTATAACATATTTCATTACCTCTGTCCCTAGGTGTTTCATGTTTTGTGATGCTACTGTAAATGGCATGGTTTTCTTATCCCAGATATATAAGCAGTTTGTAGAAGTGCTGACCTTCCTCAACTTGCTTATGAGCACTAGGGGCTCTTTTTGAACATTGCTTAGGATTTTTTACATGGAGATCATGTCAACTTACACCTTTCTCTCTTTGTCTTGTCCTTTTGTACTGCCTAGGACATTGAGTACGATGTTGAATAGAAGCGTTGTGAACAGACATCTTTGTCTTGTTCTGAATTTAGGGGCAAAGCATTTAGTCTTTCACCACTAAGTATAATGCTAGCTTAGTTTTTTTTTAGATGTCCATTATCAGGTTGAGAAAGTTCCCTTTTATTCCTAGTTTGCTGAGAGATTATAGTATGAATAGTTTCAATAGCTTTCCTGTCTCTATTGAAGTGATCATCGGCTTTTTCTCTTTTATTCTGTTACTATGCTGAGTTACATTTATTGATGTGTGAAGGTTAAACTATTGTTGCCTTCCCAATTAGTAAAGATATGCTATCTTCTTATATATTGCCAAATTGATCATCTTAACCTCAATCAGCCTCTCCTTTAACCCTCCCCCTTCCACTTGTTCCTCCCAAACAGTTCCCTAAAATTATTATTATTTTTTTACTACTACTATTATTATTTAGGTCTTGCTTCTACATAAGAAAGAAAACATGTGAAATTTGTCTTTCTGAGTTTGGCTTATCTCACTCAATATGATGGTCTCCAGTTATGAGGAAGTTTTAAATTAAGAATTCAATCTTATTAATAGTCAGAAGACTATTTGTGTTCCTTATTTCTTTTTAAGTGAGTTATATATTTTGTCTTTTGAGGAATTTCCCCATCATGTCTAAGATGCTGAAATTTTATATAAAGTTGGTCATAATATACCCTAAATAATATGTAATGAAGGACCCTCTTTCTTCCCTGACATTGGTGATTTGTGTTTCTCTATTTCTTGATCAACTTCATTTACTACAGATATATTAATTAAGTTGTATTTGTTTTTTCAAAAATGAGAATTTGGTTTTATTAATTTTCTCAGTTTTATGGGGTTTTTTTGGTGGCTGGGTTTTTTTGGTGGTGATACTGGGGTTTTACCCAGGGTCTCACACTTGCTAGGCAGGCGTTCTACCACTTGATTCATTTCTCCAGACCTTTTTGCCTTAATTATTCTTCAGATAGGGTTTTGTGTTTTTGCCTGGGGTCAGCCTAGACTGCAATCGTCCAGCTATAGTCTCCTGCATAGCTGAGACCACACACACACACACACACACACACACACATCACCTTCTTGGTTGAAATGAGGGCTTGCTATTCTTGGTTGAAATGAGGGCTTGCTAACTTTGTCCCAGGCTGGCCTTGAACTGTGATTGTCCTGATCTCTACCTCCCAAGCTACTAAACTGAGCCTCTTTTTTCTATCTTCTTAAAGTGGAAACTTAGAGAGCTGACTTCAGATTTTTCTCCTTTTAAAATATAGGATATAAAGCATTTCATTTTTCTCAAATCCTCCTTTAGCTGCATCCCACAGGTTTTAATATGATTTGGTTTTGTTTTCATTTAATTCTAAATATTTTCTAATTTCCCTTGTGAATTCCTCTTTGATGTGAGTTGGAAATGTCTGGTTCAATTTTTTGAAGTAACTTCGAATTTGATTTCCCCTGGATTCAGAGGATAGCTCTTTGAAATTTGTGAAGATTGTTTTAGCTTCAGCACGTGGTTTGTGTGAGTGAACATTACAAGTGTACTTGAAAAGAATGTGTGGTATTCTGCAGTTGGAGAAGTAGCAGATAAATGTTAGCTATTTCCAGTGTTTTGATAGTTCAAGTGTTCTGTACCCTTACTGAATATTATTTGTGTTATCAGTACTAAGAAATGGTGGTGGGAATCTTCAATTCTAACCGTGAGTTTGTCTACTCTTCTCTCTTCTGTCAGCTTGTGTTTCCCATATTTTGAAATTCTGTTATTGTGTATGAACACTATAGATTGTCACATTTATTTGATTAATGAAGCTTTCATCTTTATGAAATTATTCTCTTTATTCCTGGTAATTATTTTTCGTATTATGCCTTACTTTATCTGATGTCAGCATAGCTAGGATTCCTAGTGTTTGTCTCAGGTATCTTTTTCTGACATTTTTCTTTAACCTATGTGGGTCATATTTAAAATATGTTTCTTATTTTGTTTTGTTTGAGGCAGAAACTCACCATGTAGCCCAGGCTGGCCTCAAACTCATGATCCTCCTGTTTCATCTTCCTGAGTGCTGGGATTACGGGCATGAACCACCAGGTTTAGCGAAAATGTGTTTCTTCTAGACAGTATATAGTTGAGACTTGCATTTTAAATGCAGACTGGCAATCTCTGTCTTAATTAGAGTGCTTCGACTATTTACAAATCATGTAATTATCAGTACAGTGGGGTTTAAATTGGCAACCTTTCAGTTTATTCCTTTTGTTCCTCTTCTTTTCTTTGTAATCCATTTTATTTCCACATTGCCTTATCAACTACCCTACCTTTTTATTTACTTTTGTAGTGTATGCCTTGGGATTTACTATGTGCTTCTATAACTTACTCAGACTGTTTTAAATAATTCATAGTGTATGACCTTTCTTGTAGTGTTGTGGTTTAAACTGGAGTCTAGATTCCTTACAGGCTGTTGGTAGGAATATGGACATTCAAGGTGATTTTGGTGAGGATTTAGAAAGAAAAGAGGAAAGTCATAGAGAAGGCTTTTTCTGTCTTAGAGAAAACATATCTTCAGAAGCAGAATGTTGCTAGAAATATGAATGCTAAAGATGCATCTGGTAAAGTTTCAGACAGAAATGAAGGATGTGCGGTAGAGGAAACATGATTCTATTGCACAGTGGCAGAGGATTTGGCTGGATTGTTTGCTGTTGGATGGAAAGTAGAACTAGGAATCTATGAATATGGATATTTAGCAAATGAGACAGCTCCCTTTTTATAGAAACAAGTCTTTATTAAGTTACTTAAGATCAGAAAAATAAAAATTCTTATTATACTCTTTACAGCAAATATTGGCGATTTGTTCATCTTATGGTCATCTCTTTTTAATTTTTTACTTTTTTATGGGACTGGGGTTTGAATTTAGGGCTTCACACTTGCAAAGCAGGCTCTCTACCACTTGAGCTACTACTACTCCAGTCCCCTCTGGCCATCTTAAAAAGGCCCTTTATCTCTCTCTCTCTCTCTCTCCCTCTCTCTCTCTCTCTCTCTCTCTCTCCCTCTCTCTCTCTCTCTCTCTCTCTCTCACACACACACACACACACATACACACACACACACTTAAACTCTTCTCAAATTGAATTTGTAATCCCTATGATCTCCTTACATATACATAAAAAAGAGTGTAGTAAAATTAGCAAATACTAAATTGTGCTAATAATTTATCATTCTTAGTTTGTGGCTTTTATGCACCTAGCATATGTTGATTCCTTGGCTTATTAGTTGTCATGAACAATGTAACAAAACACAAAATACATACTTGGTGAACACTGGTTCCTATCTACAAGATGGAGAGCAGCTAGAATTTAGGTTCCAATACTGATGTTTATTCTAAAGCAATTGGCATTATACCATAATATGCCATCAAGGCAAATGCTTTTATACTAAAAAAAATAAAAACTATTTATTGTGAACTTTTATATGACTAACTCTTCAAGTGGAAATAAATAAATTTTGTCTATTTACTATTGAATGCACATAGGATTTCAATTTTTATTATACAAACAAAAACTCTTTTTTTGGGAAAAATATCACCTCAGAAATAATTAGTAGAAGACCCACCAATATAATGTTTTGTCCCTTCAATGGCAGCAGAAATTTGGGAACATACCGACAATGAAGTTATAGACATCCGGAGGTGAAATGCACACACGTATTTTAAAGAAATCTTTCCTTGTGTTTGGAAATAGATCTGAAATGAAATCAATTGACTGGAGATTGTCGCAGCTGTTTCATGAATTATGCCAGGGACATTGTCATCTCTCTCCACATGACTAAAAAATAAAAATATGTAATGTGCAAGACAAATGTGGATTGAACATCAAATGTTTCACATTTTGATCTACAGTCTAAAAGTCAATTAATAGCTTGATCAGACTAGTGAATGGAATGTCCACATCTTCAATTGCCAGTCAATATATGTGCTTCCCAAAGACCTTTCTGAAAGGGAAAACCCAGGTGGTCATTTTCCCATCGACCAAGAGAGGCAATGGTAGGAATTCACAGTCAAGACCATTTTATTCTAACCCACTGATTACACCAGCCCTGAGCACTCTGGGAGAGATGAAGGTCAGTGCAGCAAGTTTTGTCCTATAAGATAGCCAGTGAAGTAGTGAACTTCCATCTGTCCTATTATTTTCAAGAAGAAATCACAGTGCATTAAAAAGTTATTTGTGCCGGGTGTTGGTGGTTCATACCTATAATCCTAGCTACTTGGAAGGCTGAGGATCTTGGATCAAGGGCAGCTCAGGCCAAAATAAGAAATGTTTGCAACACCACATCTCAACAGAAAAAAAAAGCTGGATGTGGTGGCACATGCCTGTCATCCCAGTTACAATAGGAAGTATAAAACAGGAGGATCACAGTCCAAGCTGGCCTTGACAAAAAACAAGACCAGAGCAAAAAGGGCTGGAGGCATAGTTCAAGTGATAGAGGACCTGCTTAGCAAGTGTAAGGCCCTGAGTTCAAACCACAATACTGCAAAAAGAAAAATTACTTGCATTCCTGCAGAATTAGGCATACATCGTTGGAAATAAAAAAAACACTTATTTTGTCAAAACTGGCACTGTCAAGAAGGCAGCACTGGAAGTGTATGAGCCATCTATAATGCCAAGTTCCCACCACAATCCTGTGATGTGCCTAGGCTTTGGGACCCATCGTCTGGAAACTCATAGGCCACACAACCTGTGATCATTACTCAGCCAAGTTGAGCTTTTTCCTACACAAGCTACATCTCTGCTACTAAAGGATAGTATTAATAATTCAAATCAGATTAATAGACAAGAGACCATGTTACTTCTATTTCTTCCTGTACTTTGCCAACAAAGTCACTTCAAAGATAGGCGCCTTATCTCTGCACAGAGTGACTATGCATGTATGAGTCTATCACTGAATTCTTAAGCTGTTGCTCCTTTGAGTTCAACCATGAATCCTGCCACATGATCAGGACTCTGACTTGAGTAGTGATTG